AGCTTACAGACATAAAATATGTGACTTAAATGACATATAATTCAGGATTGTACTTCTGAAAAAATTCAGTGAATTTAAAACGAGTCATATAAACAATTTCAAGAATTGAAAAAATGACTAGATGAGCATGATGAGAACTTTAGCAAGGAGACTGAAACCCTCAAAAAGAACAGAATAGGTGCTCGCTTTGGCAGCACGTATACTAAAATTGGAATGATACAGAGAAGATTAGCATGGCCCCTGCACATGGGTGATATGCAAATTTGTGAAATGTTCCATATTTTTAAGATATTCATTAATGATACATCTGATAAGGGGTTAATATCCAAAATTTATAAAGAACTTATACAACTCAACAATAAAAAAACAAACAATCCAATTAAAAAATGGGCAGATGACCTGAACAGATACCTCTCCAAAGAGGAAATACAGATGGCTAACAGATATATGAAAAGATGCTCAAGGTCACTAATCATCAGAGAAATGCAAATTAAAACCACAATGAGATATCACCTCAAACCTATCAGAATGGCTGTCATCGATAAATCGAAAAACAGCAAGTGTTGGTGAGGATGGGAAGAAAAGGGAACCCTCATACATTGTTGGTGGGATTGCAAATTGGTATAGCTGCCATGAAAAACAATATGAAAATTCCTCAAAAAATTAAAAATGGATATACTTTTTGACCCAGAAATTGCACTTCTGGGTATTTATCCAAAGAATAACAAAACAATAATTCGTAAAGATCTATGTACTCCAATATTCATAGCAGCAAAATTTACAATAGCCAAGATGTGGAAGGAACCTAAATGCCCAACAATGGATGATTGGATAAAGAAATTATGGTTCACATATACATTGGAATATAACTCAGCCATTAAAAAATGAAATCCTACCATTTGCAACAACCTGGATGGACCTGAGGTTATTATGCTGAGTGAAATAAGTCAGACAAAGAAAGATACCATAGGATTTCACTTATATATGATATCTAAGGAACAAAAAGAACAAACTAATCAAAAACAGACTCACAAATATAGTGGACAATTTGGAGACGGACAGAGGGGACGAGTGTTGGAAGGCTGGGGAAAGGGATGAAGGGTTAAAGATGTACATATTAGTAGTTGATAGTTGGGCAGGGGGAGCATGGAAGAGGGAATGCAGTTACCATTAATATGACGGCTAAGTAGAGGACAAGGGGAAGGAGGGAGCAATTGGGGGTATCATTTTATGAAAATTATAGAAGTCTAACCAATGTACTGTATACTTGAAACTAATTTAAATAAATAAATTCATTTTAAAAAAAATAGAACCAAATAGAACTTCTGAAGATAAAAAAAAAAAAAAACAGTGCAAGAGTTGAAAAATGAAAGAGCAAGCTTGGGA